ACACATATGGGTGCCAGAAAATGATGTCAGATTCCCCTGGAGCAGGAGTTATAGACACCTGTAAGCCACCCAATGTTGGTACAAAGAACCAAACTCAGGTCCTGTGGAAAAGCAGCAAGCACTTTCAACTAATGAGCCATCTCTCCAGCCCTCTCTTTTCTTAAGGACTGACCTTTTTCTCAATCTTGACGAAATTCCCAGTCACTGTATTATATGAATTAAGAGTCCCAGACTCATGTAGTATGACCGTTACACTGAGACTTTTAAATATGATTAGGAATTACAAAGCTTGTCTGTTTTATTCATTAGTAAAATTGAGGTTTAAAACCTGTAATTCAAAGGCCTATAAAAGTGAATTTGTAGGCATCATAATCATTTCAAATATTATATAGTTTGTTTCTTTTAAAAAATATTTTAAGTGTAAGCCTGAGCCCTTAATGGCTAAGCCATCTCTCCAGTCTGATTCACTTTTTTATTTAACATATATGAGTGTTTACCTGCATGTATGTAAGTGTACCATATGCATGTGGTGCCTGTGGTGGCCAGAAGAGGTCATTGGATCCTCTGGAACTAGTGTTATAGGAAGTTGTGAGCTGATGTGTAAGTGCTGGAAACCAAACCCAGGTCCAGTGCAAGAGCAGTAAGTTTTCTTAACTGCTGAGCCATTTCTCCAGCCGATAGTGTACAGTTTTAACTGCTGAGTCATCTCTTCAGCCCATTTGTTTCTTTTAAAAATTGAAAACTCAACTTTCTACAAAGTTTTTAGAAAAAAATAGCACTAGAAAAGAGCCCTGTTCCTTGTCCCCCTTCCTGTGACTCCTTGGTGCCCAGCCATATTGTCCACAACTTCCAGCTCCGAATTTTCCTTGGGGACCAGTGGAAATGCAGTCATGGTATTTTAGAGCTGGAAGAGGTCTGAGGGTGATCTTGATTTCTGGGGGCAAGACAAAGAATCCTGGAGCTCAGAGCCAGAAAATTATCTTCCCCACTGCCCAAAGATGGTTAACTGGAGCTTCTACAGCAGTTAGGGCTCTGGGGTCTTTGTCACATCTCTTTAGGTATGCCCTAGGAAGATCATGAGTTCCAGGCCAACCTGGGTAGCATAGCAAGACCCTGACTCAAACAAAAGAGAGAAGACTAAGATGTGACTCAATGACAGAGCCCTTGCCTGACATGCCCGGAACCCTGACTTCTATCCACAGCACCACACACGAAAAATAATGAGTGAATGAATGAACAAACGAATAAGATAACATTGATTTTTCTCATGGCACTCCATATGGGACCTTATGCTAACTAGTCAACAGCACCACATCCTTAAGATCCTTTGCTTCCATGAGTCAGAAAATCTTCTTTGTTCGAATAAGACACTCTACTGCCATCTGTTGGAAAATAGTCCTGGTAAACTTATCTATCTATGGTATCTGGCAGCCCCAACCCTTGGTGTGCAGTGCACAGCATTTACTGCTGTGCTCAGCCCTCGCTGACTGAGAGAGTAGATTATGTTTAAGAAATGACCTTTGGGTTCCAGAGAAGACATGTATGTCAGTGGCAGCTCCAACCTCCCATCCAAGTAATCACTCATGGGTTGTGTGCTGGGATCAGAACTTTTAGACTCTGAGGGAGCATGGAGTTTGCAAGAGGGCACCTTACTCTGGGCATCTGCAGATGACAGTGCCATAACTGTGTTAAGAACATATGTGATATTGTCGAAGAATTTTTTAATTTAAAGAAAGAATTGGGCTAATGGATTGTTGCATTCAAAGACAACTATTTTAGTTCTTGTTAGAGCATGGTCAGATCTCATGAGAAGATTGTAAGTAAAAAGCAAGGCTGTCTCTCCCCTCACTCTTGCTTCCTGTCTTGCCATATAACACTTCCTTCCTGCATGTTCCCCTTCCAGGAAGTTATCTGGGTCTTACTAGACACCATAACCAATCTTGGACATTCAACATCCCAAACTGTCTTTTCTTTGTAAAGTTTACAGCTTCGGGTATTTTGTTATAGCTACAGAAAATGCACACACACATAAGGACTCTGGATGTTTCCCTTGATGCTTGGCTCACAATGAAGCAACTTGAGGTCAAATGCCAAAGATGTTAAGTATGCCCATGAAGGCTGGGCTTGCTGGATGTTTCCCTAGGGTATATTTTATGCACTTACTGTTGGCAGTGGACAGCAGAGATTACTAGTCTTGAGTATTTAAAATATGACTATGGGGATTGAAAGTGAATGATACTATGATTCCTCAAACCTGCAGTGTGACAGACCTGCCAGCTTGGATCAAGTGTGTGCCATCATTTCAATTCCCCTACCTAAGGGCACTGAACCAAGGATTGGAGTGCAAGCTCTTCAGTTGGAGTATGAACTCAGAAAACTTTGGGAAGCAGGGAAAGGGGAGACAAGGCTGAGGAAGAAGCCAGTGAAGGAGGCTCTAGCAGGCTGACTACCAGTGCTGGCATGCTCCACAGGGAGGCTGAAACAGTGTTCCCCCGAGGGCTTGCCCACCCAGGACATGGAGTTAGGGGAGGTTTCAGGCCACTGCAGGTATGCACGTTAAGGCAGGAAGAAATGTTTGACCTCAGAAACAAAGGTTACGGATGCTGGTGAGCAAGGGACAAGAGATGCCATGTCTCCCTGGACATGGGAAACAAGCAAGCTTTAGGCTATGTCTTAGTTTCTTTCCTTGTTGCTGTGTTGAAATATGCTGACAAAAGCAACGTAAGGGAGAAAGGGTTTATTTCAGTTCAAGTTCAAGGTACAGTCCTTTATGGTGGGGAAGTCAAAGCAACAGGTGCTTGAACCAGCTGGTCCCATCATATCTATAATCAAGAAACAGAGAAGGGAGCTGGATAGATGGCTCAGCAGTTAAGAACACTGCTCTTGCAGAGGACCCAGGTTCGAGTCCCAGCACCCACACGGCGGCTACAAACTGTCCTTAACTCCGGTTCCAGGGGAATCTGAAGCCCTCTTCTGACCTCTGCAGCATTGCACGGCATGGGTGCACTCACATACATGCAGGCAATGCACTCATACACATAAAATAAAAATAATGAAAATATTTTAAGAAAAGAAACAGAGAGGGATGAATGCATGCTCCCTCTCTCCATTTTATACAGGCTAGGATTCTCTACACAGGGACTGGTCCTGCCAACAATTAAGATAGGTCTCTCTGGGACTGGAGAGATGGCTCAGTGGTTAAGAACACTGGCTGTTTTTGCAGAGACCTAGGTTCAGTTTCCAGCACCCACAGGGGGCTACAACCACCCCTAATTCCAGTTCCAGGGGATCAGACACCCTCTTCTGACCTCTGTGGGCACCAGGCACACATACGGTACACATATATACAGGCAGGCAAAACACTCAAACACATAAAATAAAACTAAATTTTTCTTTAAAAAAAAGATGAATCTCTCCACATTAATTAATGTAATCAAAATAATCCCCCATAGGCATGCTCAGAGGCTCATCTCCCAAGTGACTCTTGATCCTGTCAAGTTGAAAATTGACACTGACCATCACAGGCTACAAAAAGTTGCTTAAACATTGGACAGTAGTGCCTGCCATGACTGTGTGAGAAAAACCAGATAGTCATCTTACCATGCATGAAAAACCACAGACCAAATACGACATCAGGACAGGGCTAGAGGTCAGTCTTTCCAGAACTAAGCTGAAGAGAACTGCCACCATAAATCAGATGCAGTGCCAGCTCCCTGGAGCTGGTGCTGCTGACTCCAGCCTACAAACCCCAAGAATTCCATAGGTATGAGAGAAAGTTCTAGATGACAGGAAGTTAGAATGAGGGGCTGCAGATGTTTAAAAAAAAACACATCGTGTATGAGCAATACTTACCAAAGTGGTTCACAGATGGTCAAATTCTCTCAGAATATTAAGTTCATCAAAAAGCAAATAAAGACTGGGGAGACAGCTCAGTCAGAAATGCTTCACACAAGTATGAGGACCTGGGTTCAGTCTCAGCACCCATGTAAAAAGCCAGGCACAGTTTCAGGCTTGAAATCTGAGCACTGGAGAGGCAGAGACAGTTGGCTCCCTAGAGCTCATTGGCCAGCCAGCCTAGTATACTTGGCACATCCCTGACCATTAAGAGACCCTGTCTCAAAGCACAAAGTAGATAGCTCCTGCAAAACAACTCCTGATGTTGCACTCCACATCTGTGCACATACAAACACATACATATGCACAACACATACATATGCACAATGGGGGTAAGGGCTATTTGTTCAGGAAACGGTGGTTTCTTCCTCATCAGTTACCAGATCCTTTGCTGTTCTAGTCTGTATCACAAATATCTAGAAGAGTGCAGGGTTTTTTTTTCAAACTTGATTGATCATGACATGTGTTTTTGTTGTTTTCTTTTTTACTCCCAAACACCTCTGAACAACTCTCAGTAACTGGTATTCCCTGGCACCGTTTGGGAAACTGTTCCTGCAGCCTTAATGAACAGCTTGCTGGGAGATGAGCTACAGTAAGTTGATAGGTTTTGGAAAAGTAGACCCACATTAGCTCTTCTCTTACCAGTGTATTTTTCTACAGTCGGACCTGGAAGTTCTAACCTTCCTAGCCTTGGGAAAGCTAGGCCCTGCCTCCTCACGGCCCAGGCTTACCTTGGAATCCAACAGCCATTCCTAACCCAGCTCTTCCTCTTACCTTCCAGATGGGCTTCTTTCGCCGAAGGTACAAAGAAATCATTGAAGCCGAGAAGAACCGAAAAGAGAATGAAGAGAGTTGGGACTGGGTCCAGAAAAACCAGTGACCAACCACACCAGTCATGTGACCCCTTCCCCCATCACCAGCCTGTCACCCTTGATCTTTGTATCTTCCATATTTGGAAGAAAGAAATGTTCTCCAGATTTTTCGGAGGCCCCACTGATGCTGTCTCTTCCTCACCCTGTCAAGCCCAGGTGCCAGCCTGAGGCGGCCGGTCCGGCCAGGTCACGTGACTGGGGCCACAGCCACCACTTCCCTTTAAAAGATGAACAACTGAAGTTCGGAAAGAGAACTACAAAGCCGAGCAATATTTATGGATGCAACATTGGGTGGTCAACCCTCAGGGGAAAACTGTTACTTAAAAGTATTTTTATAAATATAAGCCTTTTATATTGATCATGTCTTTATATTTGTATCAATGTTTTATTATTTCTATTAAATAGTTATATAATTCACTCAAGCACTGAAATCTTGGAAATACATGTACCTATATACAAATTTTAAAGGATAAGGAACTTATTGTACTTTGGAACTTGCTGTTCATTGAAAAAAAAGAAAAAGGCTTGCAAATGAATTGCAGCTGAGGAAACCTCATGAAATGAATCCACCAAACTCTTGGTGTGCTGCATAAAAACCATGGAAACAGCAAGATCTGCTAAGATGTTTTCCACCGTTACTTCCTGGGGTCAAGTTTGGAGTGCTTGAAGAACCATCGGTGCTTTCTTTTACGTTCCTCTCATTGGGAGATTCCCAACAGGAACTGGGATGGAAAGCCTGATTTCCTGGCTGAAATGCTCCACATCGCTCTGACACAGCAGGCACCTCTCCCTCCTCCTCATGGAGTCAGCAAGTATGGGTGAGCAACTGGTCAACCTCAGAATGCCATCTCATCCCAGTCACCATGTCCCAGAGTTCACATGTCCAGGACTGAGTCTGTGTTCCTTGAGCAGAGACCTGTGTGTCTGTGCTGTGGGGTGTTACCTTGTCATGTGATTTTGGTCCAAAGGTCTCTGTTTCCTCTGTTACTCTTACTGTCCCCAACTGGTGGTGTTGCAGATTTCTTCCCAGACAGGATCATTCCACCTGATGTGGGGTTTTTGTTTTGTTTTGTTTTTTAATGTCTTAGGTAGGATTCTTAAGAATCAAACCCTGAAACAAGACCTTGGGTGTAAGTAATGTATTGAAGTCTTCCCAGGACACAGCAGTAAAGAGGTGGAGAAAGCAAGATGAGGAAGCCGGCAAAGGTGTCAGTTAAGGGGACGGATGACCCATGAGGTGTCTTCGGCCTCATTGGCTCTAGAAGACAAGTCATGCCTCAGAGTCTCCTAACTGGATGTCAAGGAGCTGGACTTTCATATTCCCACACCTGCAGGAGATGTAAACTTTCTCCTCAGTTCTTGCTGGCAAGATGACTCTGTCCTGTAGGGGAGAGCTTCAGGGGCACTCTCAGCTGGGGAGACATAGTAAACATGCAAAGACATCTGAACAGAGAGTACTGATGTCCCCCTTGCAGCTTTGGATATCCAGGCTCTGTGTATGACAGTGTCTGATGTCATCCTCACTATGCTCCTGGTTTGGGATGCAGTGTGACTTTCTAAAAGGGCAGTAAAGTGAGGCATTCAGCAGATTCTGCAGGGTACCTGGCCCCCATTGAACACTCACCATGCTGTGACTAGCTCCCACAGCCAGTGACCAGCTAATGAGGGAGAAAGCACAGGGCTAAGTCTTAATGCCCCACTATGTACCACTGCTGTCAAATGGAAATAAGCAGTATACCAGGCTAAGAGTCTTTCTTACCAGGTCTCATTCCCTGGAAGCTAGCATGTTAGGTGTCTGTGACCAAAACTGACACAGACCTCAACTTGACAAATACCGTTTTAGTTGTAGCAGAATGATGATGGTGCGGGGCGAGTGTGGGCCTGACACAGAGCTCATGTCTTTGATTATTATTTACACAGATGACGCTGCTGCATGAAAATGGTGGATATACACCATTTCCTTCCTGATGAACATGGGAAGGAACAACAAAGCCATGAAGCAAGCCGGTCCTAGAAGTCAGATGTTGCATCTGACTGTGGAATGGACAGTAGCCACTACAAGGCAGGGGCAGACCAGGAAACCAGTGCTCACCCAGTTTGAGCTTAATCAAAAGAAATAAGGAAAACGGTCCTGGCTTTGAAAGCCACTGACAGAGCTCTGGCTCTATATCGAGTGCTACTCCAGGTGCCGGAGGTCCCCCAGAGAACACCACAGACACCTTGTGCCTTAGGTTCTGAATTCTCCACACAGTAGGAGTGGAGTGTGGATATTGCACCAACCCCCTTTGTAGCCATCTTCTATGAATTGTGTCATGTTTTCCTTTAATAAACCATTTAGGAGTTTTAGGTGGTGAGACCAGCACAGTACCATCCTCAGTTTTAGCCAAGTGCATTTGTCCCCATTGGCCTGCTTCCAGGGCCAGTGGATGGAGCGTGGGGACGCACAGGCACAGTTCAGCCAGCCAGTAGAGCCCCACCTGAGCAAGGGCAGACAGTGAGGAAGGGCAGACTCAGCTGGGATCCAGCCACTTCTGCCCGATCCTGAATGGCAGACCCTCATGACTAGTTGTATGCTCAGTAGGTCACCATGACTTCCTAAGGCAGGTTTTAGGAAAACTCTACTTGATAGCGCCTGGAGAAAGTCCTAGCAGCCACCCCAGGGACCTGTTTAGGACAGGACAGCATTTCTGCCTATCTGATCATGCTAAGCGACAGGTACAGCAAGGGCCAGGGATGCAGCCACTAGGCCCAGGAGTGGAGAAACATTGTATTGAACTCTCAACTGGTCAGTTCACCATCTGCACTCCAGCCTTAGCAGGCTATCGAGGGAGGTAATAAGCATTGGTTGGTGTGTCTGCATTACCTCTCTAGAATGTTCTATTCAGAACCCATTGAATTGTACCCTTTTTCCTGAGTTCACTGTGGAATCCTAGCAGACATTCTCCTGGGCACCGTCCTTTGCTTCAGTTTTTCAGTTGTGTCTCCAGTGCTTCTAACCAGCTATCTGGACTGAAGTGCTTTTTTAAATATGAAAAAGGTCTTTCTAAAAAAAAAATGGACTAAAACAATGCCCCTTTATTAAGAACTGACTCCCTTCTGCTCAGTTTATATAGGACACAAGAAAGTTGGAGTATCTCCAAAGTGAGCCCTGGGCCAGCCACAAAGAGGCACAGGAATGATACCAGGAGGGAAGTGGGGAGCTGGCTTTGTGATGACTGACAGATGCACACCCAGCATCCCTGTCACTGGGGTCTCAGACCATACTTTGAGAACCCTCTTAGCAGCTCAGTGTTGGCAACAATGTTCCCTGCACCAAATCATGTAGTCCATGTTGCAAGAATCAAAGGGAAGGAGATTCTCAACAGTCATACTCCTGGCCACTCCAGTGATTAGTGACTGTATACTGTGTGCTGCCTGTCGAGCCCCAGTGTGGTGGGTGTGGAAAGGTTATTCATGCTGTTTATTTTGAGATGAGGCATTATGGGGATAGGAATGCATTATACCTGGTGATCTGAGAAGGGAATGCCCCAATTTCAACTTCCTGAATTTAGAGGTACTGCAAAGAGTTGTCCTTTGAGGGAAGGGCTGCGGATGTGGCTCAGCGGCACAGGGCTTACCTGAAATACATGAAGCCCTAGGTTCAATCTCCAGTACCACCCCCAAAATAATGTTATTTAGGAGAACCATCCCTTTAGCGAACAAAAGGCAGAAAATGTCATTTTAGCAATGCCCCAAGAATGCAGTTTTAATAGATGTTTTGTTTTGATATATGGGATAATAATATGCACGGTGGAGGGTATTTTCTGAAATAAAGAATGACTGAGGGAAGGTTGCAGAGCCAGTGGGGCCAAAAGGAACCTTCTAGAATGTCTTCTGAGTTTCCAGCACATGAAGGGAACAATGAATACATTTCCCAACATGGTGCAGTGCTCTCTCTAGCACACTGATCTCTATTTCATTTTAAGGTGTTTGGTGTGGTTTGTTGGATCCCAATGTGCACAGTGTAATTGGCAGCATGAGTTTAAGCTTTACGAGTGGCTAATTGCATGGCAGGCTCCCCACTCTGCACATCTGCAGCTTTACTGAGGTATCCACACTTCCCTAGAGAACTTTAGGTGGGAAGGCTGTCCCTCCTCATAATGTTATGTGTATTCAAGTCTCTTCAGTCACTTCTAATTCACTTGCACTGTTTGGGAAATGTCAGGTTTACAAAAATACATGTTTGGAATAAAAAAAATGGTTTCAAATGATTCTGGAGTTTCAGACTGTAATTCCTTGGCTGATAAGAACTTTCTAAGGTTCTGAAGATAGAATTCCAATACAATATAATGTAATCATTAAAGAGCATGTGGAGATCCATCCAATTCCACATGAACAACCCATTTGATGGGGCTGTTTCCTGCCCTTGACCTCCATAATTCGGACACCACCACCTCTGTGTATTGCCCAACCACCTAAGGCTCTCTACCTGAGGTCTGTTGAGATAAATACCCAAATGCAATGAGGGATTCCTCATCACAAACAGACTTCTTCCACGCATGTCTGTAAGTCACTAAATATTTTCCCAGGCTGACCTCAAACTCCCTGTGTAACCGAGGATGACCTTAAACTGATTCTTCTGCCTCCACCTGTCAAAGGCTGGGATTGTAGATGTGTACTGCTACACCTGGTTTATTTGGTGCTGACCATCAAACCCATGCCAGGAATGTCCTCAGCCCCTCTGGAGCCATCAGATCACCTCTTACTCCTCAATTCTGTCTGTACCAGGCCACCGAGGTTGGTAAGAGAATTAGTGAGCATCTCACCTAGAGCTCTGACTACACTATCAAGCTATTTTCAAGCCTCCATAAATGAAGCCTTAAGTCCTTAGGTCATGCCCCATCATCCTACATACAAATTCAGTTAAATAGTATCCAGTGAGATGTTACCAGCTCTGCACACACCTAACCCTAACCCAGAGACTACTCCAAATTATTTTGTACTTTATTTGATATAATTTTTCAACAATCGAAAGAAAATCCTATGAAATAAAACCAGTCTCATCAGAGGCTTAACTATTGTCCTTAAAGGACAGCAACAATCTAACTTTTCTTTTGAAATTTTGAGACAGGGTTCAATGTAGCCCAAATGGCCCGAGACAGTTCTAGGGATCAAACTCAGGGTCTCTGGCATGCTAAACTGACCCTCTACCCGCTGAACTTTACCCCTAACCTTTGAAAACATCAAGTTGCTGAAAAAGTTTTAAGATTTGGCAAAGGATCTCTAAGAAACCTTTTTTTTCCTAAGAAATGACAGATTAGGAAAAAAATGAAAGTCTTTCCAATTCCACATCTATTCCCCACCCTATCAGTTAGAAAAATTGGTTCCATGGAAGAGAACATTCCAAAATAACCATGGTTTATGCAGGATGGGGTGAGGACTGGGACAGCACAGTGAGGGCAACAAGGGTGTGCACGCCCAGGCTCTTGATTATCCAGAAAGAGGCTTATTTGTTCCCAGTGTGGCTAGGATAATTATGGACCGTGATCCTGAAGAGGAAACCTACCTGCCTTGCATAAGAGTCCTCTTATGGAAGGGGAGGGAAAACGGGTAGGGAGACAAAGGTACAAATTGAGCTGTAGGGACAAGTGCTCAGGGAAATTCCATGATAGGGCTGCACATTGCTGGCCTCAGGAAAAATAAGATCCCAAAAAACCCTCTCCCTGTAGATCACATCCCTTTAACTCTTTGCTAAGCAGTCCCGAGGAGCATTTCAGGTTAATCTGAAACAATCTTGTTTCCATTTCCACTATAAAAGTAGATTTTAGGACTGGGGAGATGATTCAGGAATTAAGAGCTCTTGCTGTTCTTGTAAAAGACAAGAGTTTGGATGACAGTGCCCACATCAGGCAGCTCACAACCACCTGTACCTCCAGTTTCAGGGAATCCAACACCCTCTTCTGGCCTCCATGGGCAATGCACTCATGTGTGCATACACACTGAGGGATATATGCACATAAACATAAATAAAAATAAAATAAATAATTAAGGGTCTGGAGAGATGGCTCAGCAGTTAAGAGCACTGGCTGCTCTTACAGAGGACCCAGGTTTGGTTCCCAGCTCCCACATGGCACCTAACAATGGTCCCTAACTCTACTTCCAGGGGGATCTGACACCCTCTTCTTGCCTCTGGGAGCATTACACAACACGGGTACACTTACAGACATGTAGGCAAAACACTCATACACATAAAAAGTAAATAAATAAAAAAACTGAAAAGATTTTTTTAAGTAAACTGACAAATTAAAATTTTCCTTTATCTCCTTAGTTCATTTGGCCTTTTTTTGAGGGTTGAGGCTATTTGTGATAAACTTAAAAGTTTATTTTATATTAACTTTAATATAAAAGTTACTTTTCATAGATGAAATAGAATGTTCTATCACTATATAGTTTTCCTTCCTCATCTCTAGTAATACGCTTTTTAAAAAGCAAGAACTTATATAACACAGACTGACCTTGAACTCAAACTCACTGTGTAGCTGAGGATACCCTTCAACCTCTAATTTACTGCCTCCCCTCCCAAGTTCTAGGATTGCAGGGGTGTGCCACCACACCCAGTTTTATGCAGTGGTGGAGATGGGAACCCATGCTTCATGCATACTAAACAAATAGTCTACCACCTGAGCTATATCCCCAGCTCTTTAGTAATATTTGCATAAAATCTATTTTGTGTAGTATTTGCACAGTATTTCTTTTTCCATCACTTGATCGATAACCTTTCTGTATCCTTAAGCTTCATGTGTGTGTCATCAGTAAATAGCACATAGCTGGAGTTTTAAAATCTATTCTAACAATCATCCATATTACCAAAAACATTTAGTTTATTTATTAGTGTTGATGGAAATAGATTTCTTTCTGTGTGTGTGTGTGTGTGTGTGTGTGTGTGTGTGAATGCAGGTGCCCATTACCACAGTGCACATGCTCAGGTCAGAGGACAACCTCAGACATTGGTTGTTTAAGATAGCCTCTGTTGTTTATCCACCGTGTACACCAGGCTTCTAGGATTCTCCTATCTCTGCCTCCCATCTCCCCACAGAGTACTAAGACTACAGACACATACTACTGCATCTGGCTTTACATGGGTTTTGGAGATCCAAACTCAGGTCCTCACACTTGCATGGCAAGCACTGAGTCATGCCCCAGCCCTGTTGGATTTCTCTGTATCATATTATTTCATGTTTCCTATTGTTACTGAATTTTTGTTCACTTAGCACAGGAGATTGAACCTATGACCTCAAGCATGCAAGGCAAGCGCTCTACCACTGAGCTACATCCACCCCCAGCACAGTTTATGTTTTCTTCTGGTTACCTTTTTGTATTTATTTTCCATTCTCTTTTCACATTCCATTCTTCCCCTCCCTTTTCCTTCTATCCTTTAAGCAAATACCAGATACTCAGGAACTTGAAGACTTACCGTCACTTGCCTGTTTAACATCCTACCATAAAGTTAATCACTGTCCATTAGTGAATTTTAATTTTATACTTTAACTGCATGCATCATCTTACTGATTGCTTTCTGTAGATTTTCCCATGTGTTCACCATTTCTTTGCTCTTAGGGGTTTCTTGCACCTCAGCTCTTTCCTCCTGGATTTGTTTTCGTCCTGCTTAGCGTGTCCTCACAGGTTTTCAGTGAGAACCTGTGATGGTGAGGGTTTCAGCTGGGCTTGTCTGAATCCATCTTTAATTTGTTCGTATTCTTGGCTCTGCTGGTACAGAATTCAAGCTCAAGTGGTCATTTTCTCTCAGTGGAAGGGTACATCATTTCGTTGTTTCTAGTGTCTATGGTGACTATTAGGAAGTCAAGTGGGCCCATTTATCACTCCTTTAAAAGGAATCTGTTTGTCCTCTTAGGCATCTCTTAAGATTTGTCTTTATTTTTTGTGCACTGTAGTTTTGCTTTAGTCTGTTGGGTGGAACTTATTTGTGGTTATTGTGCTTGTGTGATGTGGCACCTTCTTGACCATAGCTATGCCATCTTAAAGTTTATGCTGACTCTAGTCTCTGAAATTATCAGGCAGTTGGCCTAGGGTATGGGAACACATGTCAGCAGGACCCAGTCTTGGGAGCAGGTCAACGTGTCCTGGAGTGCACCTGCTAACTGCAGATTTATGGCTTCTGTAGGTTATGCTTGGCTTGCTTCTGTGAAATAGTAATTGCTGCTTAATAGAATAGAAATTGTTAAGGGGGCTTTGTACCTGTAAGCTTGAGAGCTTAAACTTTTCACCCTTGGTTATGGTTTCTCTGTATAAAAGCTTACCCTAGATGGCTCAGGGCTACATGCTCAAATTCCGACACCCTTGTGTAGCCGCTGGCCAGCAACAACTTTCATTTGGCAAAACTTTGTCTGAGTGGTCTTCTCTTGTGAAGTACCTTACAACACTTGAGATTGGTTACCCTTACTGTGGTGTGATGTCTTCAACTCTGCTTGTTTGTTGTTTGTTTGTTTGTTTGTTTGTTTGAAACAAGGTCTCACTCTACAACCTAGACTGGTCTTGAATTCGTGACCACCTCCCACCTCAGCCTCCAAAGTTCTGGGAATACAGGCATGAGCCACCATACCCAGTTTCACCTCTTTAAACAGCATCTGTGCTCTATCCCCTTTCTTCTAACGAATCAATTGCTCAGTCACCTCTTCCCTTCTTGCCTCTCTGTCTACCCTCCTTGTTTTTTCTCCCTGTCTCTCTTAGCAGCACTCTGAGATACCTCGTCTGCTTATTTTTGCATTTTGTGTCTTATCTGCTCTTAAATTTGTCTGTTGAAATTTTAATTTGACTTCATGTACTATATTCTTATATCTAAATTATCTGTTCTTCAAATATGATGGGTAGTTCCTTATATTTTCTTGTTCACTGCATGTAATGTCAAGGTTTTACATTTGTTTCTCTTTGTTCTTTTTTAACTTTTCTCTTTCCTTCCTTTCTTGTTTCTCTCTCTCTCTCTCTCTCTCTCTCTCTCTCTCTCTCTCTCTCCCTCTCTGAAACAGGGTCTCTCGAGGTAGCAACTAGCCTCTCAAATTTACAATCTTCCTGCCTCAGCCCCCCAGGTGCTGAGATTACCGATGTATACCACCATACCTACCTCTTTTAAAACACTAATTGTAATTTCTATTCTGTGTCTCATAAGAAAATGAGATTTTTATAGGATCTGTTTTTGCTTTCTATGATTTTTTTCTCTCTCTCTCATTCATGGACTTTCTTTCTCTACGCAACT